ACCAGTGTGCCTGTAATCCCCTCTGACCAGTGTGTCTGTAATCCCCTTTGACCAGTGTGCCTGTAATCCCCTCTGACCAGCCAGCCTATAATCTCCTCTGACCAGTCTGTCTGTAATCCCCTCCGACCAGTCTGCCTATAACTCCTTCCGACCAGCCTGCCTGTAATCCCCTCCTACCAGTCTGTCTGTAATCCCTTCTGTTCAGTCTATCTGTAAGCCCCTCTGACTAGTCTGCCTGTAATCCCCCCTGACCAATCTGCCTGTAATGCCCTCCAGCTCCTAGATTCACCATCTCAGTCTGGAAAGAGAGAAACAGCCAATTATCTTAACAGCCCACTTTCCACTGCAGAGCTAGCTGAAGGGGCATATTAGCCATGGTGTGACTGAGTAGTGTTATCAGCCTGAAACAGAAAGTTTCACAAAAGGTTTGAGTTTGAAATCCTGCCTGTCACTCTGGAGCAGTTTTGGTTGCTATCATTCAGCTGAGGTGTAAAACTGAAGCTTTGTCCACTATCTGTCGGGGGGTGTCAAAGATTCTATGGCCCTCAATATTTATCCCTCAGTCAACATCAAAAAACAGATGCTATGGTTATGTGTGGGAGCCTGTTGTGTGCGAATTGGCTGCTACATTTCCTACGTTACAGCCAATGATTATACATTTCAAATGTCGTGCATTGGCTGTAAAGCCTTTGGGATATCTTGAGAACATGATTATAATGATTTACTATGTTCTCCCTCCACACTGACACTGCAAATGTGTAATCTCCTGGTTGAATCAGAGAAACACGGAGCCAACATGTAGGAAAGGAAATACTTTGAGGAAATGGTCTCTGACCTCCTCCTCTGGAGGTCAAAATTGAGGAAATCACATGGACCGAGTCTTACCTATAAAAATACACTCACCTTCTATATGATACAATCTCTGCTGGAGTCAGAACTGGTCCAAGTCCCTCTGGAACTGACCAGCAGCACATTCCAGTCGCTGATGGCTCTCTGGGGCTGCAAAGCTCATATTCCCACTTTTCCAGTTCGCTATCACCTTTTAAACTGTAGTAATCTATCAATAGGCATGCTACCTAGCACTTTAATAATGTGTAGACTGTCTTTTCATTCAGTAACTTTAGCAAAACAAACATCAGTTGTAGAAATAGATTTTGCCCTCCTCTGATGGAGGCAAAATTGGAGATTTCAGGAGAAAGGGATTTATTCTTTCAAATATCTTTAACTGTGCAAGAGGGAAAACAGTGGTGCCTTTGTAAAATATAAATGATTCTTTTTAAATAAAAGAAATACCCGCCTCAGAGAAACAACAAGGCTACAATCTGTGCATTGAATTACAATTTGGGTCTCAGTTCCTTTGCTCCAAAAGCATGTTAGTCTTACAGGAGATACAAGGACTGAAGTTGGAAGGAGTTCAGCCAACTAGCAGCTGTTCCAATTTTCCATGGATAGGGCTACACCCAGAATAGATCTCCAGATCTCATCTCATTTCTTAACCCTATTAATGCTCAGGCTAATGGAGTTGGAGAACACAGTGTAATCACTCACTCTCCCTGATAGGATGAGATAAAATAAGTTGG